GGGGGGGGGTAGGGGCTGAGGAGACGCTAGCTGAGAACCAGCCAGAATGGAACAGACAGTCCCCACACTGTACTCAAAAAAACGAAAAGGAAAAACGAAGATTCCTTCACATCTGAAAGCATTTAGCACTATTCCAGAAAACAGAGGACAGAGCGGAAATCTGAAGGGAAAAACAGATTTTCCAGCCCAGGCACAGCCGTTGGACGGAAAAGCCGACGTGGGCACAGCCAGTCCCGAGACCCTGCAGGGTTTTCAAAGTGCTGAGGCAAAGCAACTGTCTCTCTAGAATTTTATACCAGCAGCTACTGAAAGCAAAATGAAGTTGGTTTTGGTTTTTTTTTTTTTTTTCCTGGACCCAAACTGAGAAAGTTGGTTGCTGGCAGTCCTCACGAAGGGAATTATTAGAGGTTGTGCTACAGGAAAGAGAAATGTGAATGAGTGTGACTGATAGCAGTGAGCAGAAAGGGGCACGGTGTTGTAAGCTTGATTCCATATGAACTCAAATAAAGCTACACTGAAGCTGTGTGTGTGTGTGTGTGTGTGTGTCGTGTGTGTGTGTGTCTGTGTCTGTGTCTGGTGTGTGTGTGTGTCGTGTGTGTGTGTGTGTCTGGTGTGTGTGTGTGTGTGTGTCTGGTGTGTGTGTGTGTGTGTGTGTCTGTGTGTTTGTGTCTCTTTGGAGAGTGGGGTTTGTTCAGTGAGTGGTTAAATCATAATAAGACCCCAGTGAGGAGAGGAGAGTGTAACTTGAGAGCACACTGGGAAAAACTACGCTTAGTTGTGTATTTTAAAATAGAAGGGGCAGCTAAAATATTGACTGTAATTATTAAAAGAATATGCATATAATTTATAGTTTCTAACCTAGCAGGAGAAGATAGAAGGGAATCTATGTCTTATAAACACAAGCAACATCAGCAGAAAAGGAAGAAAAACAAGATGTGGAGGGGGAAAGAAAAGGATGTCAAACAGAAAGTACAAAATAAGGTAGTAGGAGCAGTTTCCAAGGAAATCTGGAAAAGCTCAGCATTGGCAGGCTCGGATTAGTAGAAACACATAGAACCTGCACCCAACACACAGACTCTGGATTCTTTTCTAAAATCTGTGTAGCTTTGTAAAAAGTTGACCATATATGGAAAGTTGCGCTAAATTTTAAGCAATCTATTTCATGCAAGCCACGATCTTTCACCCAGTGTGATTAAATCAGAAGAAGTTCAAAACAAAACACGTAAATATGTGTGGAAACTTTAACATACTCCCTACTTCGCTCATGGGTTAAAGAGGAACTCACAATGAAAATATCAGTTGCTTAGAAATGAATGAAAAAAATGAATGCACTGCAGGTTGGAAGTTATAGAATGCTCCTAAAATGGTGGTCAAGACTAAATGTCTAAGCTTTAAAAGAAAGAAAAATTGAATTAAAGAAAAATGAAAGTTGAGTAATTCTAAGGAATGTGAAAGTAATTACAAAAACTAAGATAAAACATTATTGAAATGATGAAGGAAGTATCAATAGACAGGAACAAAATCAAAAGCCAGCCTTTTGTAAAATCCATCCCCAACCACAAACCTCTAGCACAGATACTGCAGACAAAGAGAGAAGCACAGGGAGACCACGAGAAGAGCACATCAGAAAGTTAAAAATAATGAAACAAGGAAACCGTGAACAACTTTATGCTAATAAAAGTGAAAATGTGAGGGAAATGGATGATATATTGCAAAGATATAAAAACAAAAGCCTGCACATGGATGTTGATGGCAGCGCTGTTCATAATTGCCCAAGCTTGGAAGCCACCCAGATGCCCTTTAGTAAGTGATGGATAAACACAGTGTGGTCCATCCAGACGACGGAATATTATTCAGCGCTAAAAAGAACTATTGAGCCAGAAAGACATGGAGGCATCTTGGCATCTTAAATGCATGTGACTGAGTGAAAGAAGCCAATCTGAAAAGGCTGTACGCTGTGCGGTTCCAGCTCTATGACATTCTAGAAAAGGCAAAACTATGAGACAGTGAAAAGATAGGTGGTGGCCAGGGGCGGGGGTGGGGGGCAGATGGTCAGGGGGAGCACAGAGATTTAGGGCAGTGAAAATACTCGTATGATATTACAATGATGGACACATGTCATGTATACACTTGTCCAAGCCCTTAGAATGGACAACACCCTAAGGTGAGCTGTGGACTTCGGGTGATTGTGCTGCGTCGTGTAGGGCCACCCTTGGTAATCCATGTACCATCTGGCGAGTGAGGTTGATAATGGGAGAGACTGTGCATGGGTGGGGGCAGGGAGCATTGGGAGACCTCGGTACCCTCCTCTCGATTGTGTCCTAGCCGTAAAACTGATCTAAACAAGTGGCATCTTTAAAAAAAGAAGAAAACTGGAGCCATTTGAAAGAAGAAATAACCTAGAGATTGCCCAAGAAAACCAATAATATGGCTTCCGTGTAATGTGAATTAAATATTATGTGACATGATGGAAAAGACAGTTTTATTAGAAGTATAGGGAGCACTCAAAAGTTTTAGGTAGAGACTTCTGAAGAAATAAAGAAGAGTAGTTGAAAGAGAAAAACAAAACAAAACATAATTGACTCTTGACGAAATGTTAATAAAGAGACAATTCTGGAAAAAGATTGTCCGCTCAGCACCGCCTCCTGAGAAGCGTTCGGGGAGGTTTGCCGATGAGCGTCACAGAACCTTCCAGGGACAAGTAATGTTTCTCTTTATACAAACAAGAGGCTGGGGTGGGCCGCTCCCACTCACTTTATAATGTTTTTTATCTTTGCAAGAGATCGTACAAGAAATCTAAATATAGGCCCATTTCCCATGTTAATATGCAACCAAAAAGTCTATGAAACATTAATG